AAAAAAGAAATGAATTTGTTTTCCTAAAATACTGGTTTTTAAAATCTGACTATTGAAACCTTAGGAATGTATACGAAGCCAGGTATATTGGCACATAACTATAGTCCTAGCTACTCAAGAGGCTGAAGCAGGAGGGTCACTTGTGCCCAGGCACTTGAGGCCAGCCTGGGCAACACAGACCTCACCACAGCACGGTTTGAAAAGTTTGTTCCTATGTTCCCTCTGTGAGATTTTTGCCTTCACACAGGCACCCCTTTCTCTGTCTGTCCCCCTGATTCTTTTTTTGGTTTTGAGACAGGGCCTCACTGTGTGTAGTTCAGGCTGGCCTTGAACTCACTTTGTAGCCCAGGCAGGCCTTGAACTCAAAGAGATCCTCTTGCCTCAGCCTCCTGATTGCTAGAAGGGCAGGCATGTCACCACACCCGGTGTGGCCCCTAATTCTTGAAGCAGCCCCTTTCCCCCTGGGGCTGCCCTCTCACTAGCCTTCAGGGCCCTTAATGGAAAGCTAGGTCCCCTCCCCAGCGCAGGCACCAAGAGAGCCCAGTTCCTCCGTCCTCCGGTTCCCACGCCCCGGCCTTGCCATGCGGAAGCAGCCGGCGCTACATGCGTTCGTATCCTCGGCCCGGCCTCTCTCTGGCCACCAGGCAGGCCATTAGCAAAATGACCAGCAGCCCCGCGATACTCAGGCCCACGGCCACGGGGACGTCTCTCCTGTTCCTGTCACTGAAGCACTCGGTGGCTGTAACAGAGGCCAGAGGAACAGGTGTCACGGGGGACCACGGGCGCCGCGGAGGGGGAGACCGAGGCAGCGACTGGGGCCCTCCGCATGGCTGCAGAGACGGGGGAGGGCGGCGGCAGCTGGAGACTCAAGGCCGGAAACGCCAGGAGCTTCAGCTCCAGATCTCCAGGATGTTCAGGGGGAGGGAGGCAGAGCCAACCGCGAGGCGCCGGGGGCGGGTCCAGCGCTGTCCGGACCCCAAAGCCGGGACGCTGCCCTCTGGAGAGGGCCCAATAGTTCCCGCTGGGCTTTTTAAAGGGGCTGCTGGGGCCGCCTGGGGCTCCTTGGATGGCAGAGAAGACAAAAGCAAACGGTAAAAGAAAAGGACAGGGACCCGGGCATGGCGGCACACACCCGTTACCCCAGCACTTGGGAGGCTGAGGCAGGAGGATCACCTTGAGTTCAAGGCCAGTCTGGGCTACATAGTGAGACCCTGTCTCAAAAAAGAAAGAAAAAAATAGGACAGGGAAAGAAAACCTCTGGCAGCTCCAGGGTGTAGGAGGAGGTATGGCAGAGGCAGAGGCAGAGGCAGAGGCAGAGGCGGGAGGGTTTGGCTGGGGATGGTTATTCTCTTTACACTTGCTGGATTCTTCTCTGCGTTCTTCCAGCCCATTTCAATGTCGCCCATCACCCAGAGTTCTCTGCCCCACCCCTCACCCCCACTGTGTTAATCAGCCCTTTGCTTGCTTGCTTTTGTTCTTTCTTTCTTTCTTTCTTTCTTTCTTTCTTTCTTTCTTTCTTTCTTTTTTTTTTTGAGACAGGGTCTTGCTATATAGTTTAGGCTGGCTTTGAATTCACTATGTAGCCCAGGCTGGCCTCAAACTCTTAGTGATCCTCCTGCCTCAGCTTCCCAAGTGCTGGAATGACAGGGGTGTGCTGCCACACCCAGCTCTGTTTATATGTCTTTTCAACCCTGGATGATAAGGTAGCTTGCTCCTCTTTTATCATTGTCTCTTACCTCCAGGGACAAATCCTACTTAGGGAGGGGTGTAACATGCCATCCCTTTGCATCGTTAGCAAATCTGAATTGTGGATACGGGATTTGGAATTGAGCTGCGGCAGAGACAGGGAACAGGAGAGCAGCAGGCCGTAGAATCAGTAGGGTTCTGTGAGCATTTGGTGCAGGAGAGGGAGGAGAGAAGGGTCAGTGAAGTCTCTTGCTTGGTGACTCCAATGAACCATGATTTTTAGGAAAATAATATTAAGAAAAGAGCTTTTCCATCAGGTAGGATGGTACATGCCTGTAATTTCAGTATTCTGGGAGGCTGAGGCAGGAGGACCACAAGCTTGAGCACAGCCTGGGCAATTTAGCAACTTAGTGAGATCCCGTCTCACAATTAAAAAAATAAAATTATAAGGACTGGGAGTGTAGTTCAGTGTGAAGGCCCTGAGTTCAACCCTCAGCATCACGAAACAAAAACAAGTAAACCTTTTCCATGTCTGCCTGTGAACATCGCTGGTTGCAGCCAGAAAGCTGCTGAAAGGTTTTATTCCCAAGCCCTGCTCAATTCCTGCTTCACAAAGGCTCTAAGTGCCTTCTTTTATCACTTGATTAAACTGGGCGTGGTGACGTGTGCCTGTAACCCCAACACTCTGGGAGGCTGATGCAGGAAGATCCCAAGCCCAGCCTGGGCAATTCAGTGACTTGGTGAAATTCTGTCTCAAAAACTGTAAGATACAGACAAACCCTATAAAAATCAGGGCTCTACGGCAAGCAGCATGGTCTTGTTGGCTGAAGGGTTCCCACTGCATCAGGAGAAGTTTTCTAACGGGCACATCTTTAATTTTACAGCAGAACTCAAAGTAAAACCAGGTTTGTGCTAGAGAAATGTAACAGGCAGCTAAACGAGCTTAGATCCATTTTGGGTGACTGAGAAGCACCCGCAATAGTTTTTGAGCTCTTTCAAGAGGGATGTTTTGAGAATCCAAATTCATGAGCCTCCTGACAGGGAGAAATCCTGGTAGCACTGCCTTCTGGACAGGAGAAAAGGACTTTTTCCACAAGACCACCCGGGCCTGCCCCTGGCCCTCACCCCAGGACTTCCGAGTCCTGGGCAAGCTCTGGTGGTGCAGGTTCAGACCCAGAGCGGAAGGAAATTAGACGGAAATGAAAACTGACTCAGAGGAAACACTTGGGGCGGGGGGTTGGCTATAACTGGGAAGAGGGAATCCAACAGAATTGTTTTCTTTCTTGAATTACCGCCTCTGCTTTTCCCTCTGCAGGTGGGAGAAAGCTGTTTTGAAATCCCGAGTCACTGATGCTGAGGACCTTTGAAGGACTCTCCCACCATACCTGGGCCGCCCTGAGAGCTGAGCAGCAGGTACAGGCAAGGCCACGGGGGCGCTGCCCGGCTGGCCGGGCGGAGGTGTCTGTGTTTGAGGGAGTGGAAGGGAGTGTGTCTCAGTCACACCGGGGACGCACCTTGCTGGGGAGAGCCGCGGTGTGCGTGGGTGAGGTGCTGGCTTGGAGGCGGCGGGAAATGGCCAGGACAGCTCAGCCCTTAGGGCTGGGTGGAAACACCATTCTAGGAAGCTCCTGAGATGCCTGGCCCTCCACGGCTTCGGACAGAACACAGCTTGGAGCTACCCCTGGGCCCCTGAGAACTGCTCGTGACTCGGGAAGCCCGTAACTTACCGTTTCCAAAGCGGTCGTCTTCAAAGTCAAAGGCTTGCAGCTGGACGTTCGTGGTCTTCAGCTGCAGCTGGGACGACAGGGCCGCGCTCTGCTCACTCACGCACTGGAAGGAATGCCCGAGCACCGTCTGGAACATCACCATCCCGCTCTTCAGCCCCTGGAAAACTTTCTCTGAGGAGAAGAAGTGAGACGCACACAAGAATCCGCAGAGTTCCAGGGGCTGCCGGGCTGCCCATGGGCCACTCAGTGGTTTTCCTTCAAGCGTGGGCTTCTGGGAACCTGCCTCCTTCTGCTCGGGCAAAAACACCCGGTGGAGTGTGTTCTTCTGCGGCTCAAGAACAACCCTGTCTTGGGCTGGGGCTATAGCTCAGCGGCACAAGCACCTGCTTGGCAAACACAAGGTCCTGAGTTTGATTCCCACTACCGGAAAAAAAATGAGAGCCGTCTTATGACACACCCACCCTTTAAAGGAGGTGATACTTCAAGGGAGACAGGGTGATATTTTCATCAGGGAATGACCTTCATCGGCTCTCATTTCACATTTGCCAAGGACTCTTCTGACTATAATTTGGCTTCTTGAATGGGAGGAAGCTCATTGGCCAGAGGACCCACCTGCCTCAGCCCCGGGGCACCTCCGCCGAGAAACTGTCACATGACAAGTCAACCAGCTGGACGGTGCCCTCGATGCTCTGTGCGCCCTGCTGCACCGCCACCGAGATCCCTACGAACGTCACGGTGGTCAGCGCTGTGGTTACCACGGATCGCGGCCGCTAGCGCCGCCGCCATCGACGTGAAGATCCCTACTGCGCCTGCCGCAGCTGCGGCCGCCAGCACGGAGCCTGATCACTGAGATCTGGAATTGTTTTTCCACCCCCGGGTCTTCCGTTTTGGTCCGACTTTTCCTCCCTGTGGCTCCTGGGAGATTACTGCCCTGTTAAAATCTACTCCGTGCCTAGTGATAACATTAGCTAAGCGGCGTCGGCGCTCACAGTACTTCTTCCCCGGCCGTGTGGAGAGACTGGTCTAAGTGAGTTCAAGTATTCGAAAATGAGTTGTCAGTAAATCATTGACAAAATTCTCTTGAACAATGTTCATATAATATAGAGAGTATTTTAAGTAGACATTATTGCATGTTTTCATTTCTTGGCAAATTTCTTTCATGTATGATACTTAATTAAAAAAAAAACAAACCAGGGTCTCATTATGTACTTCAGGCTGGCCTTGATCTCACTATATAGCCCAGGATGGCCTCGAACTTGGGATGATCTTCCTGCCTCAGCCTCCTGAGTGCTAGGATTACAGTTGCACGCCACCATGCCTGGCAAGATACTTAATTAATAAAACAGTGTTTAAGCCAATCAAATGGTAGAACTTTGCAGGGAAGAGAACAAACATGGCAACCCCTAGGCCAGTACCTGGTCCAGAGGAGGGTTCGTAAAGGTCTGTTATCGAAGACTCAACTTTTTGGGGAAACATCCGAGGCGTCCCAGAGACTCACTGGATTGCTTCGAAAGCATCATCTCCCCAGACTGAACATTGCAGGGTTTTTTCCAACTTGCCCCAGTATGGATAATTCCCCATACGGCAACTGAAGTGAGGCTTGATAAATGTAAATCTCATTTATCCCTTCCCTACCCCAGACCTTACTGTGGCATCCATTCACACTTAAAAATAAATCCAAAGTCCTTAGCTGCCTTGCCCACAGGCCCCGTGTGCTCGGCCCGACCGTCCCCGGATCCTCGTCTGCCGTGGGCTCACTCCTGCGGACACAGTGGCACCTCCTGGTCACCAGGCACTTTGACAGGCTGACTCTGCGGGGGTGTGTGCCTCTACAGTTCCTGCTGTCCGGCAAGAGTGTCCCCAAATGATGACCCCCCTGCTTGAACCTCACCTCTTCAGGGCACCTGCACCCCCTAAAGTCTTCCCCGAGGCTGACCGGAAGCAGCTTGGTGTTCTGTCTGTCCTGCGTGGTTTGCTCGTGGGACACTACACCACTGAACAGCTCAATGTAAGTTAGCGCGTCTGGGCGTGGTCCTCTCTCCTTCCAGAATGTAAGTTCCACCAGGACAGGGACTACCTGATGGACTCCCCATGCCTAACACAGACTGAGTGTGGCACCTGATTTTGTTCTTGCAGAAGGAATGCATGATTTCAAGAGCACAGAATAAATTGCACGGTCAACAGCACACCTGTTAAAAAGTCACTACGCTTACCATTGCTGATAATGTGTTCTAGCACCTGGATTACCTGAAGTGCACACAGGGAGTCAATCCTCCTAGGTTGTAGTGTAGGCAACTTTTTCATTTTGTTTTTTAAAAGCATCAAAAGTTAGCAGACTCAGTGGTACCCAAAATAAGCTAACCAGAAAGACAGAGTCACCATGGATCAGAAAGCTGTTCTTGCAGTACTAACCTGGATTTGAGACAGTCAAATAGGCTCCTATTTCACTGATGTAATACGAATTTTCTTCCTGCAAAAGAGTAGTTTGTTAACTATTTTTATGTTTTTGATCTGAGCTGAGAAATTTGTTTAGTCAGGGTTTGCATTAGTCAGCTTTTTGTTGCTGTGATGAAATGCCTGACAAAATCAGCTTAGAGGAGGAAAGGTTTATTTTGGTTCATAGTTACAGAGGATTCAGTCAATGGTGGGCTGGCTCCATTGTTTCTGGTTGGCAGTGAGGCAGAAACACCACGGTGGAAGCCTGTGGTAGAGAAAGCTGCTCACCTGGCAGCCAGGAAGTGGAGAGAGACCAGACACAGTCCCTACCATCGAGCTCCCATGGTCCACCCTTCAGTTAGGCCTCACTTCCTGTGTCTATGGCCTCACTTTCTGTATCTATCTCCTCACGATAATACCATCAAATTATGATCTCATACTTTACATTAGTCCACTGATGAAATCAAAGTCCTCGGGATCCAGTCACTTTCCAGAAACCCATCAGCATCTAAATCTTCAATTCAATGAGGCTTTGGGAAGATACTTTAGATAACAGCTGTAACGGGATTCTAGCTATTAAATTCTCAATATGGAGATTTTGGGGTATATGGGTTCTGGGCCACAACTGTGTTTCTGTGTTTTAAAATTCTGAAAAAAAAAAAAAAAAAATGAACATAGCCCATAACAAAAAAAGTAATAACTTATTCTTGGCTCCAAATTTCTTTATTGCTTACTTGTTGCTAGAGCCTGAAACTCAAATTCCACCTCTATAACTTGAGCCCTTTTAGCTGTGCCGAGCTCCCCATTAAAATGAATGTAGAACTGGGAGGGGGAGGGCTGGAGGGGCACACACCGAGCTTGCACAGTACGTGACATCCGAGCACTGGGGCTGTCCACCTGAGACCGCACATCCTCAGAGGTATGTTGAGTAGACTCTACAGGGTTCACAGACCCGCTGGGAAAAAATAGATATAAACTATATGTGCATTTTCCTGGGAGGACGTCAGTTGTTTTAAAGAGATTAATAGGTCTATGTTTTAGCCAGGCACGGTGGCACATGTCTTATAATTTCAGCACTCTGGGAAGCTGAGGCAGGAGGGCCCTAAGTTTGAGCCCAGCCTGGGCAACTTAATCACTTAGTGAGACCCTGTTGCAAAAAAAAAAAAAAAAAAAAAATTTAAAG